TCTTTATGTTCTAGATACTAGATGTTTATCAAATATATGATTTACAAATATTTTCTCCATACTGTAGGTTGTCTTTTCACTTTCTTTTTTGTGGCACGAAGGTTTGAGGGTTTGTTAGCCTCACACTTGGCTAACCAAGAGCTCTGCCACTTGAGCCCTCTGCCAGTTCCTTTTTGCATTGGTTATTTTCTGGATAGAGTCTTGCTTTATGAATAGGCCAGCTTGGATTGTGATCTTCCTATTTGTGCATTATTTTGTTGCTGGGATGACCATCATACCACTATGTCCAGCCATTGTACTTTCCCTTTAACTTTGAATGTCAGGTGTAATGCTACCCCACTCAGCTATGTATTGAGATAGAGTCTAGTGATCTTTTTTTTTTTAATGTTTAGATTAGTTTTCAATGATTCGCTGATCTCCAGCTGCCAAGTAGCAGCTAGAATTACAGGCTTGAACCACTACACTAGGCATCTTTCCACTTATTTTTTGTATCAGAGGCTATTAACCTTTCATGCAAAAATTTTTTAATTATAACAATCATTTTATGTTGTTTTTGTTGTTGTTGCTCATATCTTAGCTATGGTAAATAATGCTGCAATGAACATAGTTGTGCTGGTAGCTTTAGTGCGGCCTTGTTTGGGATCATTTGGGTAAATGCCCAGGAGTAGGATTACTGGATCATAGGAGAGCTCCATGTTTAGTCTTTTAAAGAGCGTACATACTGCTTTCCAGAGTAGTTGAACCAGTTTACATTCTCACCAACAGTGTAGTAGCATTCCCTTTTGGCCACATCCCCACCAGCATCTGTTATTATTTGTTTTCTTAATAATGGCATTCTAACTGGGGTGAGGAGGAATCTCAGTGTAGTTTTGATTTGAATTTCTTTTATGGACAGAGATTTTGAACATTTCTTCACGTGTCTATTGGCTATTCTTATTTCCTCTCCAGAGAGCTCAAAAAATTAAACCCTCTAATAACAAATCCTCAAGGAAACAACCACCCCATTAATAAGTGGCTAAAGAATTAATTTTTTATTACTATAATTTTCCTTCCTTCCTTCTGCCCTCCCTTCCTTCCTTTCTTCCTTCCTTTCTTCCTTCTTTCCTTCCTTCCTTCCCTCCTTCCTTGACAGGGCCTTACTATGTTCCTGGGGCTGACCTCATGTTCCTGGGGCTGACCTCAAGCTCCTAGGATTAAGAGATTCTCCTGCCACAGCCTCCCAAACAACTGAGACTACAGACACATACCACCACACTTTATTTTTTTGTATCTCTACTTTTTTCCCCCCACACTTTCTATTTCTTTATCTTTGGCTCTGCCCTATGGAAGAATCCTTTGAGATGGTCTTACAATTCTTTAATTCAGTTTTCAGCAATATATATTTTTATATAATTAATTCTATAGTCTTTTAACCTAAATATTCATTTTATTTTACTTTGCTTTTTTTTTTTTTTTTTTTGGGTCCGGTTGTGGGGCCTGAACTCTGGGCCTGGGTGCTGTCCCTCAGCTCTTCAGCTCAAGGCTAGCGCTCTACCACTTGAGCCACAGAGCCACTTCCGGCTTTTTTCTTTTTGCTTATGTGGTGCTGGGGAATCGAACCCAGGGCCTCATGCATTGCAAGGCAAGCGCTCTACCACTGAGCCACCTTCCCAGCCCTTACTTTGCTTTTTGAGACAGGGTCTCACTATGTAACCCAAACTAGCCTTAGACTTAAGATCTTTCTACTTCAGCCTCATAAAAGCTTGGATTAAAGCAAGCAATCATCTACTTTTTATCTACTTTTTCTTTTTTTAATTTCCAAGGACCTTCTAGTTCTCAGAGTGATCCATTTTCATGACAAACTGCTCTTGTTACTCTTTAAATTTCACTGAAAACAACAAGATTTAATTTTTTTAATTACCTCTTGTTCTTGAATTGACTTGATTTGATTGGGTGATATTTGTTCTAATTTAGTCTTTCGAAAGGTTACATAATAGTCAAATCTTAAAGCCAAAATTCAAGACCATAGTGATGGCCAGGTGCTACAGCTCCACACTATCAGGAAGCTGACACTTTAGGATCACTGTAAAGCCAGCCTAATAAGGAAAGTCTGTGAGAGTCTTCTCTCCAATTAATCACCAAAAGGCCAGAGTGGAACCGTGGCTCAAGTGGTAAGAGTGCTAACCCGAAGCAAAAATGCTAAGAAATAGTACTCAGGCCCTGAGATCAAGCCCCAGTACTGGCACAAACATAATATGTCTGGAGTGTTCATTCTTACCCTTATTACATTTTATTATCATAGAAATCTACTGGATATGACTAGGGACCCCAAAGAAGAGACAGGCATGTACACAGATTAAATGCAAGGAAGTGTGTTATTTAAGAAAAGTGATGTTGCATTGTTTTACCCCAATACTGGCACAAATATAATACGTCTGGAGTGTTCGTTCTTACACTTATCATGTTTTATCACCATAGACATCTACTTTAGGGACCCTAAAGAAGAGATAGGCATGTACACAGATTAAATACTAGGAAGTATGCTATTTAAGAAAGGTGATGTTGCATTGTTTTAAATATACCAGGATGTTGATAGATTACAATCACTAATTTTTAGCCTTGTTACAGATTCAATTTGTTGACTAATGAATCACTAATATTACAGGTGTACAGAGCCACCTGGTTTACAGTAGGTACTCAATAAATATTTAATAAGTGAAGAATGAATACAAAAACTGATAATATTAGGCTAAGGTCCTTGAACTGCTGCATCATATTTGCCAGGATATTTTCAAAGTCTAATATGCTTGGTTGTCAATAAAATGGAAATTGCACTGTGGTTTAAGATGGCTCATTGTTAACCCTTTCCTTATTTTTTTTCTGATGTTAAAATTTATTTTATTTATTTTATTTTCCTTATCTTTACAATGGAAGGTGTTCTTTCACTCCCAATGCCACTGACTTAATAGAGGACTGAGTTTTTCCAAACTTCTCACCTGATTTAACTTCTCCTTTCTCTTTAACTTCTTATGTGTTTGATATATATAATCTCAAAAACTTGGAATCTTAGGTTTCTACTTACTATGTTTTTCACCCCCACTGTAGGACTATACCATTGATTGAGAAAGTCATATTTCCTGCTAACACTGTTTCTATAGTTTGGTTTTCTGTGTGTGTGTGTGTGTGTGTGTGTGTGTTTCTTTTTGGTTATGTGGGGCAGGGAGGGTCCTGGGGCTTCAATTCAGTGGTCCCAGTTTTGTTTTTAATCTCAAGGCTAGTGCTCTACTATTTGAGCCACAGCGCCATTCAGTTTTTTGTTTTTGGTGGTTAATTAGAGATAAGAGTCTCATGGACTTTCTTGCCTTGGTTGGCTTCAAATCTCAGCCTCCTGAGTAGTTAGGATTGCAGGCATGAGCTACTGTCTGGCTTCTATGTGTTTCAAAAGCAGAAGCAGTAGAGATTCACTTGTAAAAACAACATAAAGATTTCAGCTCCTAGCAATAATTGAAAAAAAAAAAATAAGAGAGTAATCTCAGGAAGTCTTTCCTGCACCAGTAAATATTTCCTGTGTGGGGAGGAGAGAAGATGATTGAAAGCACAAATAAATCTTGTATTTTTGCTAGTCACAACTCAATTATGCGTTGAGCTGTTTTCTGGTGCTTTCAGACTTTCAAGCAATTCCTTCTACATTTACAAGAGAGAAAGGGAAATTATTCTGGTTTTTTTTTTTTAGTGTGTGTGTATGTATGTGTGTGTGGGGGGGTAGACATCTAAAAAGCAACACAAGCGAATGAAAGTACTGACTTAGAAGACACTTGACAATGACACCAATCTACTTGGGACTGGGTGGCCTCTTCCCACCTCCAGGAACACACTGAGCTCTCTGGCCCTACTCTGCTAACAGAGCACTAAAAATCTGCCAACGTTTTCTATTTCTAGACACTTCCACCTGGGTTCAGCATGGAGCTGTCTTCTTCTAGAAGGTGTAGTCGTCGTTGATCTCTGGCAACAATTTAGAATGTAAGGAAACACAGTCATCTGTCTAATAACACAGGCCATCGATTGTGAAATGAGGAGCCACATCTGTCAGTATGGAGTCCAGAGAAACCCTGGAGGACTTTTGCTCAGTAGCACCCTCGAGGCCGGGAACTGCTGGAAGTGGCTGCCCCGGGGCGAGGCTTCTGTGTGGTCCGAGGAGGCTCCGCATTATCCTTGGTGACCAGAGTTGGGGAGCCAGGGACGCGCGCTCCTCCCGTGGGTGCAAAAGTCTTCTCTGGCCAAGAGCTCCCGGGTGGGTTTGGTTGTGTCTGTGTCCGGCCCCTGACGAGGTCGCTTCATGCAAAAGGCCAGGGGTTTGACCCCTTCTCCCCCCCCCCCCCCCGCCCAGATGGAGGTCACCCGGGGGGCTCCTTAGCCGCCGTCCAGTGACCGAGAAATCAATCGCGCGGTGAGGTGAGAACATTCTGAACGAGCGCGGCCTCCCTGAGGTCGGGATGTGTGCGTGTGTGTGCACGTGTGTGTACAATCCTTCCCCCAAAGCCCCTCCGCGCGCCCCGACCTCCACACCCCACAGTGGCCACACACATCCTCAGCGCACCGGAGCTGGGGAACGGAGGCGGGGAAACAGTGCACCCAAGGCTCCACAGTACCGGCGGGCCCCGTTCGGAGGGGTGCGCTTGGGAACCCGGCGCCCACCTACCTTCGCAGAGGGCCCGTAGCCGGCGCGAAGAGTGCAGGAGGCCGCAGGGGGGCGGGGACAGTGCGGCGGGGGTCGTCGCCGCAGAGCTGCGGTGAGGGCGGGAGGGGCCGCACCTGAGGAATCCGCCTCCGGCCGCCGCCGCCACCTCGCTCCGCCCCGGCCCTGAGCGCGCGGCCCGCGCGCCTGCCACAGAGACGCCAGCCGCCGGCGGCGCTAGCACCTCGGAGGAGACGGCCGGAGCGAGTCCAGCGGAGCGCGGCGCGGCGCGGCGCGGCGCTGGCAGCGGGACTGGGGGTGGGGAGAGCAGCTGGCCGCGGCGAGGGCCACCCCCCGGGTCCTCGGCCCTCGCGCCCCGTCAGGGCCAGGTGAGCGGCTTGCGGACACTCGCGGACGAGGGTGTGGGGAGGCGGGAGGCGCGAGCGAGGCGAGCGCACGCCCCTGCGGGCCGGGAGCTGCCCTTGGGCGGGCTGGACACCCTCGCCGGCGCCGGCCAGCGCCGCGGCTGACTTTTCCCGGAGGAACAGAAGGGCGGTTGCGGGGGTTGTACACGCGTGAGTGCGGACCAGTCGGTTTGTATGGCGACGACCGGGCGTTGGTGGCAACCACAAACAGCACCCGTTGTGTCCCGGACGCCTCGCGCCACCCCGCCGGTGCGACTCAGCCCTTGGGGTCCGCACTCCGGAGGCCAAAGGCCTGTCACCCTGGGCTCGGCTCGCTGCCTTTGTGGCGGGAGCCGGGCCGCCCGGGCGTAGGATGAGGGAGGTGGAGGGGCGCGGCGAACGCGGGGAGCAGCCGAGCGGGCGAGGGGACGCGCCCCAGCCGGTGCCCGGGGGGGGGGGGGGCGGGCCGCTGGAGCCCGGTGGACAGCAGCTAGGGAGACGCGGACGTGACCTGGGAGAGGGTGGGTGCAGCTCAGCTTGGGGAAAGTTGAGCGCGTCCGGAGGTGGCCGGTGGTTGGCTTGGTGTCCGTGGTTTTCTGACCTCCAGAGCCAAATGTCACTTCGTCTGGAGCGCGCGCGCGCCCGCCGGCCATCGTTCCCATTTTTTTTTCCCCCTTTTTCTTCTTTCTGTGAGTGGCCGAGGACCACTCTGGCTCTGAATGAGACACAAAGGGTTGTGTTGACAGCTGACCCTGACATAAGTAGCCCGCGAGGTGAGGGGGTGCCCTGGCCGGGTGAGGGTGATGATGGGCGGTTTGTTAAAGCGAATCGATTCACACCGTCCCTTTCCCGAGCTTCATTAAAAAGAAATTCTTTGGATAGATTCAGTGCTTGGGTGTCTTATTTAAATAGAGCCCAAGTAACGTCCCTGAACATGATTCATTTGCACGAACAGCTGTTGTCTCCAACCAAGGCAGGCAGGTCTTGGAGAAACTGCTCTTTCCAGCTCCTTTCTTTCTTCTATGAACGTGACTGTTACAAAGTCCTTACCCATCCCACCCGGCTGAGCAGCTAGAAGCTAAATTTCAATGTCTACTCTTTGCACCACGAGGTTCCTCCCCATCCCTCTTGAGATGAAAAGCCCTATTCAAATCCCATTTTTAAAACTAGACTTTTAAGTATGGAAAAGAGCTTTGCTTTTTCAAAATTACTTTTGAACGAAATGCCCCCTTGGGGTGGGGGTGGGGTGGGGGAGAAACTCTTCTTCATTCCTTTTCTCAAGTTTTTATACTTCAGAACTCTGGAATTCTCTTGTGAGTTTTCTAAGTACTAGCTTTTTTTTTTTCTTCATGAAAATTCCTGGGAGATTTTTTTTTTTATACATGGCAATATTGAAAACTTGGTTGAAAAACACTTTCTCTGCAATTGGTAATAAACTTTACATGCATAGGTATATGTACTTAAGAGAAAAAAAAGAATACTGAAAAGTTACAGAAATATGGCAAAAACTTCTCAGATAACAGTGAAGAGTATACTGTAAAAATTAAGCTCTCTCTCCAGCCCATCCTCCCATGCCCTACTTTTCTGAAGCACAGTTGTACATTTCTTTTTTTTTTGTTTTTTTAATTGTACATTTTTGTATGTATAAACTATTAAAAATGGAAGTACATTATGGAAATCAAGGATGAAAGGAACTCGATATTTTAAGTAAATACCAGATTTTATAATAATGTTTATTATTAGTTTGATATCCATTTGTGGATATCATTAGAATTTTTCATCTGGCATTAGGTGGGTACTTAAGAGTACTAAAAAGAAATCATAGAACTGGTGGTATTCAGTAGGAAGCAGAACTATTGAACTTCCCTCCCCTATACCAGTGTCTTTACACCAGGCTTTATAACCTTTGTTGAATATTCCTACACCTTGGAATGCTATGGAGTAGAATGAGAACGATAGTTTACATTAACTATCATTTGTTTTGTTTGCACGGTGTATATGTGAAAACACTGAATGGTTATATGCATTCTCCCACTGAAATGATAGAGCATAAATATTGTAGAAATCAAGAGGAATGTGGAGGCCAAGTTAAGACATTTGGTCACGTCTCTTAGTTCCTAGGTTTGCCATAAATCAGCCACAGGAAAAGGGACATGCTTTTGTTTTCCACTCAGTTAAATAAAAGGAATTGAGAAACATAGATTTTTTTTTTAAGGTTTTGGTAGTCTTTTTGATGCCCAGATTTGACAAGTGAAATAGCTCTATGGGTGTACTAAAATTGGCCAAGAATAACCTGTTGTACTGTACAGTGATTAGACAGTGAGGGAATGAAAAGCAATTCTGAATACTGGAATCATAAAGGGAAGGTTAGAGATGTTTAAAGTACATTTCTGCTTTTGAAGATGCTACTGGAGAAGAGTTTCTTAACTTTGCCACACAACGTCTGTTTTTGTTGCTTGGGCTCACATGGTAGAGTGAATTACAACTGAGGGCACCATTTTTAGAGAAAGTTCTTTTCTAAAATGCTTAAATTTTCTTTTTGGTAAAGGGAAGTACTGTTTAAAGACTGATGGTTGACATGATTTAATTAGTAATTCTCAAAAGTATTCAGATTGTGAATATCCATTGCAGCTAAGATGTTTTAGTAGCTTGTTTTTAGTTACTTGTTATATATTTAACAAATAACTATTTCATATCATAGTTTTAGTTAAAAAACAGTTCCTAATCTTTGAAACATTTACAAGTAGAGCTAATGATTCTTGGGTGGATGTAGGAGTTGGGGTGTGATTGCACAGTGTGACAGTAAAACCAGTGGACTAATTTTGTTCACTGTTTAGAACCTCAATTAAGGAGTTTCAAAAGTACTGTAAATGGTGATTGTAAAAATCATTGATATTAAGATAGAGATGTTTTACAAATGACTTCCAGTCATTTAAAAACTATTTGATTAGGATGCTAAGAATATAAAAATTAGGATACTTTTGTAAAGGTACTTGATTTACTGAAAAAATTGACAAAGTACCAATAATAAAACTGTTCTAAATAATAAGTTTATGTTTTCTAGTTCCCTTCCCAATGTTGCTATATAAAGATGTATTTTTATAGATATATTTCAGATACATGTTAGTATGAACATCTGAGCGATAATTTTGGAGTCATTTTTGCAATAAATGTCTTGTTACTTAGCCCTTCTGTTTTGGTTTTTCTCTTCTTTCTCCTTCCCTTCTCTTTGCTCCTTGCTCCACTTTCTTTACCTCTTTTTCTTCTGAATATCCTTAGGATTGTTTCCCTGGAGAGGCAACATAGTGAAAATGTAAATGGGTAAGGTAGGCTATAAATTTGGAGGTCTTGAGTTAAAATCTAACTCTATCACTTACTAGTAATATTGGACAAGTAACTTATTTATCAGAACTTGAGCTTTCTGATCTATAAGATGGTAATTGTACTATCTATAAGATTACTGTGGTAGTAATTGCTCTCTGTAAAGTTAAAAAACATGAACAAGTCTTGGTGCCAGTGGCTAATGCCTCTAATTTTAACTACTCAGGAGGCTGAGTGTAGAATGATCAATGTATGAGGTCAGCTGAGGAAGAAAAGTTTTCAAATCCCTATCTCAAAATAATGCCCTCCCCCCTAAAAAAAACAGGGTTGAAATAGCGGCTCAAGTGGTAGAGTACCAGACTAGCAAGCCCAAGTTTCTGAATTCAAATTCCAGGACTAGTGGAATAAAAAGACTAGTGGAATAAAAAAGGTAATACCCGTGTGTGTGTGTGTGTGTGTGTGTGTGTGTGTGTGTGTGTGTGTGTGTGTGTGTGTGTGTGTGTGTGTGTGTGTGTGTATGCGTGCGTGCGTGCGTGCATGCATGTGCATGCACCAGTCCTGGGGCTTGAACTCAGGGCCTAGGTGCTGTCTCTGAGCTTTTTTGCTCAAGGCTGGTGTTCTACCACTTGAACCACAGCTCTGTTTCAGGCTTTTTGGTGGTTAATTGGAGATAAGAGTCTCAGGGACTTTTCTGCTTGAGCTGGCTTTGAATGGTGATTCCTAGATCTCAGCTTCCTGAGTAGCTAAGATTACCACCAATACCTGCCCTCTCCCCCTTTTTTATTTTACTAGGAAAATCTCCACTTTTCTGGTAATTTGAAACAGCTAAATTGTTACTAATTTGCCTTGATTTACATTTCTCATAGTGAGGAATCGTTTTCTCAGAAGAATTGTTATAGTTTTCTAAATGGAGTCATGAAAATTTAATTGCTTCAGTAATTTGGAACTAGACTTTATGATGGACATGTAGAGGAGGTTCATTCCAACACTAATGAGAAATCTGTTAAATTCTTCAAATTAGTTGTAGGTATTTTGTATTTCCAGTCTATAGTAATGTTTATTAGCTATTATTATTTTGAATCTTAGAAAAGATGTTGAAATTAATTACTAGTATCATGCACAAATCCTACCTAAATGAAAATACAATCCTTCCTTCAAGGGATATTTTATGTAAGTATTGTTGTGGTCATAATCTGGTGAGCTTTTAAGGAGAAATGCTTCTCAAAATTTGAAGATAAATCATAATATTTATGATCTCCAAATCAAGTTATCTTTTGGTGACAAATGGATTATGGAGTTATGCCCTCTGACTTCGAGTTCTTAGATAGACAGTGTAGTTTAGTCTATACACTCAAAAGCATGCCCTTGTACATTCTAGAGTTCCAGCAGCCCTGATATTTTTGGCAAACACACACCCAACATGGATAACAGCAGCTCTTTGTGCTCTTGAGCCCCAGGAGGGTTCTATTGTGTACTCTTCCTTCCCTCTCATTTTTGACTGACTGGTGATAGCCACTCCCCCAGGTCCTGATGTGAAATCCCATAGGGACTTCTCTTATACATAACTTGTTATCCTCACCACCCACCAATACATACAATGTATTGGCTTTTTTCCTATCTAGTTAGGACAAAATATATAGAAAACTCCTTATCTTTTCAAGGTT